CAAAATGTCAAAGATGGGTGTGAATATTTGAATAATGTAAAGTCATACTAGGTTGAGTGAAAAAGAACCGAGAAAGTAGAATTTATCTTACTAGATTTTAATTGAACTATATTTTATTTTACTAAAATAAAATTATTATTATCGAACTTTTTTGCATAGGCTATTAGAACAAGATTTCTTTATTTGTTTTTTTTAGGAAAACATAATAGAACAAGGTCTTAACAACGAACACATTTTCTATGTGTCTTGCCATACCGTGTTGCAAGAGTTACTTATTCAGGGGTTATTCAGTCGATCGAGATTATTCGGTTATGGGTTACTTGTTTAGGAGTTATACGATCGTCACTCAAAGATTATTACTTGATCGGCCAAGGGTTACTCGATTGGTCAGGAGTTACTTGGTTAAGGGCCGGATTATTCAATCGGTTTGGAATCTATTAACTATTACTAAAACAGATGTTGGTGACATCACCATTGCCCATGTGTCGGTTTCTTAATAAAATTTTCCCGCCTAAATGCAATGAAAATGTCATCTTTTTTTTGAAAGCTATCATATTTAACATTTTTGAAATTTAAATATTGGAAACTTCTACATTACAACTAAAAATCTATCAATTTATCATAGGATATTGAAACAATTTTAAATAGCACACTAATAAATGACCTACTACATTAAACTATGAACATATAAGGGGTTCGGAACATTGGCAAACTGATCCCACGAAGAAAGATATTATTTGTTGTTGTGCTTAAATTAATTGTCTTACTTACATTGAATTGAATTAGTAAGAAATCAATAATACTTACTCCGTAATTTTCTAAATGAACTACGTGCTTTAAAATAAAATTAAAAAAAAAAAAAACTATACGCTTAAATTCGAAATCATCAATCAAAATGGCAAGGATTGTATTCTTGCCACATGTTGCCATGTCACCTATTCTTAATAATTATACATCAATGTTTTCTCATAAAAATGTATAATTTATTAACATTAATATTTGAACCCATAACCTCATATTCATTAAAACTAAACTTTAACTAACCCCCACTCCAATAACATCTTATGATGATAAAATTGTATTAAAAAGTGTTATTCATGTTCATAATTTCTAAAATTTTATATGTGAACTTATATGTGTATATTTTAACAACAATATGATTGCAAAATTAGTTTCATTTCTTTGATTAGTTACTCAACCATAATTCATATAGGTTATAGTTAATTAAAATATATAACCCAAGAATGCAAAATAATTTTAAAGATTTTTTCTTTTTAACCAAAAAATATGTTTACTAGAAGGAATTTATAATTTATTATGATAGCTGAATAATAATAAAAAAAAAAAATCCCTATAACAAATAAAACAAACTGATACAATATATCATTTAAGTTGCTGCATATTAAATAATGAATTTTGATGTTCAATAATATTTAAAATATTTAACAAATGGTATAATTTTATAAAGACACCAATTTATATTTCATTTGCTTTATTTTGTTGTAATATTTTATACACAAACAATGCAGAAAAACTTGTATGAACCTGGTTCACAATAATATTATTGTGGACCCGAAGTTTTACATGTACGTAACTGGCTTTGAATTGAACATAGTAACCCTTATATTAAATATAGTAACCTTAATTTTAATATAGTAACCTTTAATAAAATTTGTGTGATTTTTAGTATTGTTGCAAACTTAAAGTATGATGTTATGATCCTAATTTCAACCTAGTGACCCATATTATTCATATTGACCGGTATTTTAAAATTTTCATTTAAAAATTTTTATCTCTTATGACCTTTATAATTAAAACACAATCACTTTTATTTTAACATAATGACCATTATTTTAACATAGTGACCTTTTTATTAAATTAATAAAACGACCATAGTATCTCTATTATAAGTGGTCCACAATAAATTAGTGTGAACCAGATCTATTTAAGAGTTTGTACAAATAATGACCCGGGGCATCGCCTGGGCCAAAAACTAGTTTCTACCTTAAATATACAGAGAGTGGTACAAATTGGCTATGAATTGGAGTATATAAAAAAAGAATAAAATTAAATATGAGAGAAAGAAAGTAGTTATAGATTGGAGTATATATATTAAGATGCACTATCTCCGTATTTTAATAAATATTTCATTTTTTTTCTCGCCTATCAATGCAAATCTTTGGTCAACAATATTTTCAATTATCAATAATTATAAATAATAAAAATTGAAAATTAATAATTGATTTATTGAGATGATTCCAACAAGTAATATAAGACTATGGTTCTCCTTAGATATAAATCACAAAATTAGTGAAGGTGGTCAAATAAATAATACTCAATGTTAATGGAGCACTTAATAAAATAATAAGAGAAATACAAAATGTAACGTAATTTCACTTGTAAATTGTTACACTTAATATAATAAATAAAAGGAATGTAAAACTTTCCTAATAAGTGAATTTAAAATTCTTATTAGGATAATTGGATAATCTATTTATTTTTGTTGTTTTATTAATACTAATATATTTTATTATTAAAAAATCTAAAACTTTCCTTTTATTTTAAAAATAAAAATCTAAAACTTTCCTTTAAAAAGTAAAATGAATAAACTTTCCAATAATAAAAAAAAAAAAAGTATAATGGATTGTATCTAAACTTTTATTGCCGGCTGAGAATCACAATTTACACTTCAAAAAAAAATGTCAACCTTATTTCTTCTACCTCCGTATTGTTCTCCATTACACCCACCATCATATTGTCCCAGGCTTCTCCGCAACCTTACATTCCGTTTATTCCGCTCGAGAGTTTATTAGTTGGCTTCCTCCAATTCCCGGCTTCATAAAAGTTAATATTGATGCAAGCATTAGGAGTGATGGGAAGGTTGGTTATGGAGTAGTTGCAAGAGATGAACAAGGTGTTTGGATTACCGGATGTTGCGGGTATTATCTTGACGATCAATTTGACAAACATGTTGGTCCGAAAGCTGGAAAAGTTGTTAAGGGAGAGATAAAAGCTATATTGGTTGGTCTCTTAATATCAAAAGAAGAGGGTTTCAAACAAGTAATCATCGAATCAGACTCAAAAAAAACCATTGATATGATAAATGCAGTAAACAATAAAAACATGTATAATTATTCATGGTTAGATAAAGAAGCTGTAGATCTGGATAAAATGGCTGAACTTGGCGCTCAAGGAAGTGAAGTTGAGCAGAAGTTTGAGCATCCTCCGGATGAAGTGGTTCCGTTTCTAATCGCGGAATATTGTAGGTTTCCGTTTCCAAGGGGTATTAAGATGACCAAAAAAGAAATCTTAAATATTTGTGACTACTTAACAAAGTAGTAAGTTGCATAGTTGTAAAATGTAGGTAATTAAAGAAATCATTGTATAGTAATGATTAATTAGGAGGAGAATTACTTCGAACTTAGGGGTTAGTTGTGAGCTTCTGATCTTAATTTAGAAGATCTTGTATTCTTTAATTTTCAAAGAATGAATGTCGTGATACATACTTGATCATAGTGGTGTGCGTTGCGATTGCTATTCTATTTAATTTGCAATTGGAATATTATTATGTATATGATATGATCAAGATTGTTCATTGTTTGATTTCCAATTTAAATTCGTAGTATTACTTATATGATTAAGATTGCCGATCTTTAATTTGTTCAATCTTAGAAACAATGTCAGATTAGATATTAGGAGTAGAGGTTCTTTCGTGTAGATACGAGTCACACGACAACATATATTACAAGTACTCCGATACATTTTACCTTTCAATATTAAGAAATTTATAAATTTAACACTTTAATTTGGTGGTGTGCAATTGCTACTTTAATTTATAATTCGAGTAGCATTATCTATGATATGATCTAGAGTTCAAGACTGATAATTGTTTATTTTCTAATCTAAAATCGGTTTTTGCTTATGGTATGATTAAGATTATTGGTCTTTAATTTAATCATTGTTTATTTTTAAATCTTAGGAACAATTAGGAGTAGTCGTAGATTTTTTTTCATGTAAATACGAAAACATATAGTACAAGTACTCCGAATATAGTATATACATGTTTTTAATCTTACTTTGTAATTGGTACAAGAGAAAAGGGTCATTGTACTCTGAACATATTATACAAGTAGTCAAAAGTACTCCAAAGAAAAGTGTCATTATATTAGTTTTAAGCCTACCAAAATCTAGCAACGGCTAGAGAATAAGAGATTAAGAGGTACTAATATTGGGTATTATTATCTTGTTAATCCTTCTGCCAAAAAAGAAATTAAATAAATAAAGTATTAGGATTTTATGTGAATTGGAAGATGTTAATCATGTTAGTGATGTTCCGTATATGCATTGTTGTGGGTAATTAAGTTTGTTTTAGTTTGATTATGGGATTAGCTCATAACCAAAGTTTTTAATGTTGAAAAATTTTAAAATTACACGCTTAGCTTCACGCTTTTTAATTAAAGAAAATTACTCTTGTTAGATCTATATAGTCAACTAATAATGATCAAGACTCACATAGTCGCATTATAAAGATTTAAAAATATATACAGTACAATGTAAAAGATACCTGTATATTCAGTTAAAAATATTTATTCTCTCATACAAAAAGATTGTGTCTTATACGTAGTACAAAGAATTGATTGAGAACTCAAACTCAATGTCTCACTTGTAGAGTTGTATAGCAACAATATAATAATGTGCTTGACTTTTGTCAAAAAATTCAAAATGTGTAAAAATTAACCAATTAATTATCAGATTGCTACAATAGTAAAGTTAGGCAAAAGCCAATGAACACTCAAAGGCGTTAGATAACAAAAGTAATACTCCTAGTGAAAATGTTACAGTATAAAAATATAAATAACGCAGTAATATCAATCTATACATGATATGTTTTTGTAAATATATCTCAAAATATTTTCAAAATATAATTTCTAAAAAAAAAAAAATCAATTCATGTATACGGCAATAGTGGTAAAAAAAATTCAAAAATTGCATTGTGAAACAGAAACAGTATATTAGATAAAAATGTTGATGAGTATATTTTTAGGCCAACTTACAGTTGGTCCATAACAGTGGTGTATATGGTAAAAATGGTGTTATATTCACTTGGAATGTAGAGCAATACATATGTTTCCGGCATTCCAGTTCAAAACCATTGCGCACCCTGATAGCAATAACCAATAAAAACAATGATTCTCTGAAGGAAACTTCCAGGTTGACATTATCTCTATCTTCGTCACATTTCTTCTGTTGTGTGCAGCAAGCAGCGCATATACAGTCAAATAACATAGAGCTGCACACAAGATAACCACCAAAGTTATGAGGGAAACGTCTATCATTCTCTACACAAGCCTTAAAAAGAAATACTCCGGAGTAACTATACAAATCAACCAACATTAAAAACAGCACAAGGTAAGAGGATAGTGTTTTCTGGTTTACAATGTTGGTTGATAGGAGCCAATACCTAACTAGATTCAACTATTTGAATGAATTGGTTCTATAACATCTTTGATGCTGTCTATGTGTTACTTGGATTTGTATATTTGCAGTAGGCAAAGTAAGAGTTAAAATACAAGGCCTTGGCCACTTGATGAGAAATTTCCATATTCTTGATCCAAAATGAAGTTTAAAGTGTTTTTAAAATCAGGCATGCGTCATGGCCTGTGAGTACTTACGATGAATTGAAGACTCTGAGTAGCATAATCCAATAATGTAACTCAAAATTAGGTATGCAAACAAGAAAATTGCAGTCACGGGGCTTCCCTAGGTTTTGGCAGAAACCAAACTTAAGAATTAGGCCACAATATGTACTTTTGACATGGAGACATAGAATTAAGATAAGTGCAATGCTACATAACTGAACTTGATTAAGCAGAAGCTATGTAAGCATTCCAGGTACGCGCACAAGGAATATAACATTTAAACTATTGTTCATAACAAACTATACATGCAAATAATGCATTGCCTTTTGTTGTTATTTTCCCCTTTATGTATGATTTCCCTAGGATTTTAGAATAGAACTTCATATATAATTTACAGAAAATGTCTGAAGTTCATGGAAGCTTCTAGATTCAAAAGAAAAGTCAATAAATAGGTATTATAGTAATCTGTATCCTATACAATCTATTTTAGAGATTTTCTCAACTATAACAGCTCAAAATTTGAAAGCAGCACATCTCAACATTGAGAAATAAACTATTAGTATTGAAGGCAAACTGGATCAATATTCTTAGACCTCAAATGCTAGACTTCCCTATTGCTGTACATATACCAAAAACTCCAGGTCCCACATCCGTTTGTCAAGACTCCAGATAATAACTCACTTCACAGTAAAGTTAGGACTAAGAAGTCACAACCTAGGGAGGTGAGAGTAAGAAATCTAATAGAAGTTAGGCCATTATGGGAAAACCTTAACCTCATTTCATTTAGTTGGATAAAAAAAAAAATATACATAAAAATAAACAAATAAACACACACACACATATCAGATCTGCCTCCACATTTAGACTTTTGTACAATTAGGCTTACAAGTTACAAGTCTTACAACTACGAAGAGAGGATGCCTAACAATCACTTTTTAAATTGCCCAGGTATAAAGAGAAATCTGAGGTATATAATGGGTCATCTCACAGAAGTGACAGACAGAATTGACTAGCAACATTAATTAACCTCCTGCCTGCCATTACTCACAAGTCACAAGGAAAATCCATCAATAGAGTGTGGTTGCCAGAAAGGTTAAACTTCCTGTCCAGGAACAGGGTGAGATAGAGTGGAATCTAGACCAATTTGGGTAATGCAGTCCAGCCAGCCTTTCCGGAAGAAACACAGACAGCCACTATGCGCGCGTTAAATGTTTTCGCGGACTCATTTTGACTTATCGTCATCACTGTCAAACAGCTAACTGAAAGCCATGCAAATCCTCATGGGACCTCAACACCACCATGTATGGTTGATAGGGCCCAGTTGGCAATTACACCTTCCAAACTATGCTTTTAAGTGTGTAAACAAGATTATATAATCTGTTCTTCCAAAAAAGTGATTCCACAAATATGAGTCATGAACCTCAGGTCCTCAACTAAGGCACCAACTACTAATTTGAGTACCTGATAAAGCTCTTAAAAGTTAAAACCTTCATGTAATCTATCAAATCATTTATCTTTTCCCAGGATCTATCTAGCCCCAAATCCATCGATCCACTTTGTTTTCAATCGAAAAGAAATTGGTGGAAATTTTTTGTAAGTAGCCATTTTTTACCAACAGCTGGACACTTGGACAATGAAATTATCAAATCTCAGAAATGCAGCTTTTAAAGCTTAGCCTAAGTAACGTTTATGCTATAAGGAATTCCCTCCCTACCACCTACTAGAGTGATGTATTCCAAGAAATATAATTCAGAACTCAAAATGAAGATATGCTTCATCAAAGGTAACTATATTAGAAGGGAATGACTTAATACCATCCAATAATTGTGTAGAAAACTACCATGTTTAATGACATAGAGAATGGGGAGGAAACGATTATCAAGCTCACCATTAAAAACCTCATAATCTGTGAGCTTCAATTGTCTGGGTCTTTTAAAACTGAATTCATGGTCTAAACTTAGGAAAAGCATGGCATTAGCAATTCTTCCATTAACAAGCTGAATGTCGACCATCATAAACTAGAATAGACCTCTCATGTGTTGAAGCATGAGAAACATCCACGACCAACAATGTTTCCAATGTCCATTACTCCATAATGAGTCAAGATTCAAAATACATTTGTTACTCATGTACCATGCTCTAGCCTTCACAAAGAGTTAAACATATGACACGTTCTGTTAATTGGAGGATATTCGCCATTGAAATAAACCACTAAAGAGATGGAGGGAATCAGATAATTTCTCCTTTGGGTAATATTTAAATACTCTGATACTAGCAAGGGTAGTTCAACACGATATTTTTTACTGAATAAAGAAAACAGATGTCTACTCTTCTTTTACTAATGGTATATTAGCATTGAGATGGAGGGAGCACCAATTTGCGCTAAAGTGAAGTTACCGAAAGGTCCGAAACTAATCATTTAGTTATGCCGCACAACAATAATCAATCAAATTTACGCCATAAATCAAGGCCCAGGCACAAAAGCAACATAATTGGTTACAAATCAACTAGATAAAACCCTATACACACTAAACCAATCTCCAAATTAGTTTCTTCACAACAAATTAGTCATCACATTATCAAAAAAACGAACGAATTCGCTTCACATTTTGTCACTAATATCAAGAAATTAATGCAATCAAAACAAAATCACAACAATCACAATCACAAACACAAACACAAAAGCTCAACGATTCAGTTCAATTGAAGAATCGACAACAAAAAATTGAATCAGAAATTAGGGTTAGCAGAGGAACATACAATGCAGAGAGAGGTAGTATCAGTGTTGTTTGGATCTTCCAGAAAATGGTTGCTGCTTCTCAGTAGCTAATCTGAACATCCAGTATACCTGAAACACAAGATCAATCAAAGTAAGAAAGAGAGAAAATTGCAAAGAAGAAGAAGGAAGAAGAGTGAGGTTGGTACCAAAGCTATAAGATGAGCAGCCATGAGAAGGACGACGAAAAATGGGACTAATTCCAGAAACCCAGCCTTGGTTGATTCATGTTGCGCCATCTTTATTTTAGGAGAGATTGTGTTCTGTGCCTTCAAGAATTTGACTTTGTTTATACACCCAGCCTGCATTCCTAATTGTCCGATCCGGTCCGGTTCAAAACCCGTGTAAACAAAATTATTTGGTCTATCTAAAATTAGTTTTATTTTTTTTTTTAGACAAGAAAATTAGTTTAATTTATATAGGGAACAAAGGCCCAAAGTAGTCAATATAGAGGTAAAACTACTAATATGGGTGTTTGGCATCGCTGTAGTTTTTCGTTTTTTTTGATTTTTTGTTATTCAAAATCATATGATATTAATCTAAATTAGTTAAATGGGTTAAAATCATGATAATTTTAAAGCTGACAACATAAAATAGAAACTCCTTTTTCATGTTTCCTGTTTTTGGTTTTTTATTTTTTTTTTTTTAAAAAAAGAAAATTGAAAAACAAAAATAATGTCAAACAAGCTAACATTGTTAACGGTTTTATCCCTGAATAAAATGCTTTTGCCAAAGATATAAACTTGTATTTTCTCTACTTTACTACAGAGTATAACTTAATAAAATGTATTTTATCTAAAATAAATTAAATCGCTAAAGTAACTATTAAGATGAAACAAACAAACCCAAAACATCTTATCTATTAAAGTATCATTTTACTTTGTAGGTCACATAATTCTATGAAGTATTATCTTTAATGTTTCTAAAATTTGTATTTATAGTCTTGAAAATTTCAATGTCAATGATCAAGTATCTATTCTCATATTTTGCCAATGTATACACGATCAAATGCAAAGGCAACAACATACAATACAAAATTTACAATGTGTTTTCAATAAAATTGAAGAAAAATTAAATGTTAACAGTAAAGTTTTTATTGCATGGTAAAATTAGTGTTATATAGGAAGGATCCGAAGAATAATGTAGTATGATAGTCCAAAGGATTAAGTTTTACGAAGTTCAACTACCGAAGCATATGAGTATCCAAATTGTAGACAATGAATCAATAAATATGTTTACAAGATTGTATTTACGAGATTACAAAGAAATGAGATACACACAATTTGAATTACTAGATTAAAACGCATTCTTGCCCACATGTTAGATTTTACATTTTTACATTCATGTTTCCAGATCCATTACATCAGCAACATCAATACTTCCACTCGGGAACTTCGCCTTACAGAGCAATAACCTACAAAATAATGATTCTCTGAAGGTAACTTCAAGTTTGGCACTATCTATATCAGTGGCACGTTCTTCCTGTTGAGTGCAAAGTAATGCAAGCAACCCTTTAGTTGTAGAGCTGCACACAGGATAACCATCAAGTTTATGAGAGAAATGTACTACATTCTCTGCACAAAATAACCATCAAAACAATAACTTCGTACAAAGAAAGGCTGAGAATAGAAATCAACATTAAAACAGAAAAAGATAGGACATAATTTTATGTTTGCAACGATGGCTTATAAGATCCAATACCTAAATGGGTGATTTCTTATTGAATTAAAAACTATCTTTCAATGTCTTTAATGCTATAAACAGTAGTTTGTATATGGTACTTTGGAAACATGTATTTGTAGCTGGCAATAGTAGGAGTCTAAATGTCATCATCTACTTAATGAGAAAGTTTTGTGCTTTTGATCCAAGATGAAGTTTCTAGTGTCCACAGAATCAGATAGGGCCATGGGTACTTATGGTGAAATGAAGACTAACATTTCAATAATGTACCCAAGACTGAGAATTTGGTTTGCAAACTATAAAATTCCAAACATAGGAGGTAGTGACTGCACAGGGTCAGTGTAAACAAAAGGAAACACAGAGAAAACAGCTGAGCCACGGCATCAAATAAAACATGCAGTACAGTCATAAGGCTTCCCTAGGTTTCGGCAGAAAAAAATAATGAAGTATACATGGTGAAAAGGTTAGTGCAGGAATGCTGTACTATTATAATTGAACAAGTAGAAGCAGTTTTAGCAAACATGATGAGCCATCAGACATCTAATTTTTGAATCCAATATAAGCCATTCTATGCATAATATGCACCAATGAGTATCATTAGTTATTAGTCTTATTACTTATCACTTTCCCTTTAACATGCATAAAATCCCAAAAACTTCTCAAAAAGGGAGTCATAAATAGTCAACATGTATCATCTAAAATTCATGTAACTTTCTAAATTCTCGAGGGAGAAATGTCAATGAATAAGTATAAATTTATCTGTATGACCCTAAACAAACTATGTATACTTGTATTAGATATTTTGCTAGCTATAACAGCTCTGTAAGTCTACTAATAAATTCGAGTTCTCCAAAATAATCTCTATTTCATGCTAATATTCCAACTTTCAATTGAGGTTCGTTCAAAACAAAAATACAGTTCACACATTACTGAGATATTCCCACCATGATTATAGACTACCTACCAAAACAATTTTCTGTCAACTGTTAATAAGATTACTATGATAAGGGTATATAAGGGAATAATCCGAGGTAGTTAAAAGGTCATCTCACAGAACAATATTGACAAAAATCATCAATTAACCTCTTGCTTTCCATTATTCATAAAGAAAAGCCCTCAAGAGACTGTTTTGGGTAAGCCCAGGGTGTTTATATTCCTGTCTGGAAACAGGCTGAGATGGAATGGAAATCAGACCAATTTGGGTTATACTGATCAGACAGCATTCCAAAAAAAATGAAGACAGTACATACTAGTATTCTACTAACCATGTATTGGACAGTTGGACACTTTCATCGACTCATATTCATTAGCTCAGTACAATCAAAATGCTGACTCAAAGCCTTGCAAAACCTCATCAGAGTCATCTCCAACATGTAAGGTCGATAGGATGGGCATACATCCTTGTGAACCTCCACAAAGGCACCAACTTTCAATCTTAGAATCTAATAAAGTTCTCAATACCTTCATGAAACCTATCCACTCATCTAACTTCTTCGGAGAACCAATCTAACCCAAAACTCCATTATTTTTCTACCACTTATTAAACAGAAATTGGAGAAGTATACTGAAATAAGCCTTCTTGACCTTCAAATCTCAGAATAGCAGCAATTTAAGGTTCAAAAACTAGAGTATAAGTTACATGAGTACATAAGTGGATGAAAAAAATTGAATCACATTCTCCTATAGGTAATATGTCATCACTAGATACAAAGGAAAATCACCAATGGATCCTAGAAAAGGACAAGTGTGGGTTTCTATCAGAGTATCAGAACACACTAGCACTGTGAAAGTAGATGTTGACTAATCCCAAATATCAGCATAAAGCGAATCTCAAGCTTTATAGAACAAGAAATGAAATTGTCTGCATAAGATTACTAGCATGAGCAGGTAAACACCATGTTTACAGGGCAAAGTGGCTAACTAATTAAAATTTCCTGTTTTCTTATTACTAATGCCAATCAGACAGAGGCAGCACCATTCCGCGTTCAAGTAAAGCTAACCGAGCCATTCTTGATTCGTTGAAACAAAGAAATTGGTCAGTCGATGTCTCAGCATCTCACTACGCAGCAATAATTAATAAATCAAAGCCTAGGCACAAAAGCAGCATAATTCATAAATATGAAGTAATCTTCAAAATTTGTTTCATTTCAACAAAATCACTCAATCACATCATTGAGGAAACATACGAATTCAACGCGCATTTTGTCACAGACATCAAACAAATTGAACCAATTTAACAAATACTAGTACAACTCAAAGAAACAAAAAACAAAATCACAGCAATCACACACTAACAAACACAATACACAAGAAGCCTTCAATAATCAACAAATTCAAACAATTAAACCAAAATTAGGGTTAGCGGCGGAACATACAATGCAGGAGGAGGCAAAATCAGTGTTTTTTGGATCTTCCAGGAAATTGCTGCTGCTTCTCAGTTGCAACTCTGAAAATCCAGTACACCTAAAACAGAAATATCAACCAAAGTAAGAGAGAGAAAATTGAAACAAAGAAGATGAAGAAGAAGAGTGCGATTGTTGGTACCAAAGCTATGACATGAGCAGCGATGAGAAGGACGACAAAGAGAGGGACCAATTCCAGAAGGCCTGGTTTGGTTGATGGTTGATTTTGCGCCATTTTCAGAGGAGAGAGAAAGAGAAATGGTTGAAGATACTGGAGATTTTCAATTGGAGACGAAATTCATTTGGAAGAAGAAACTGCTGCGACTGTGATCGTAATTGTAATTGTATTGATATTGTGTCAATGGATGTATCGTGCAATCTGATGTTGTCCTTATTCCAAATTTTTTTCATCACATTTCACACACATATAGTGTGGAGGACTGGTAACACTAAAACTTGGCAATTAACAAGCTTAATTGTTTAATATTTCATGGTCAATACACAAATTATGCAAAAATTAACTTAATTTTTAAATATTAAGTAGTATAAAAGGTTCATAAGTTTAGATAATTTCAGGAAATCTATGTTCAGATAAGCTGTGATAAGGGTTAATTAGGGCTGTCAAGTTTAATTAATAACTAAAATAAATTTTAATAAAAAATCAGGTGAATAGAACACACCCTTAATCAACAAATTCGGATACTGTCAACTCAAATCAACTCAAATTTAACCGAAACGCACAATTCAATTGCCCCAAGAACCCTAATTGTAAAAAACGCCCAATTCAATTGCCCCAAGAACCCTAATTCCTAAATATAACCATTTACCCCAATTATTGTTGGAGAAAAACCCTAAATTAAGAACATGTGGATTCATACCTTGGTTGTGAATTGAGTGTCTGCACTTGTGAGGATAAATTCTTCAAACAGTAACAGGCGAAATTTGAGAAAATTGGTTGAAATTGGGGAACAAATTGTAAATTGAAGTTCGAAACTTAATAAACAAAAAAATAAATAAATAAATCGGGGAGGGATAAGGTAGCCATTACTAGCTGTTGGGTGGGGCCCTCAAACAGAAATTCCATCGGATTATCTAAAAAGGTAATAATCTGAATATTTTTTTAATTTAAGAAGTGGTAATTTAAAAAAAAATAAAATAAAATAACGGGTGGTGATTTCAAAACAGGTCCTCCTCTAAGGTGGTAATTTACAAATTTTTCTTAAATTATCTCCTTAAAGTCCTACTAGTATTAGGAAAGTCATCCTACAAAATATGCCAATATCTTATTTAGATGGTGGGTGAGACTATATATGGAATAAATAACAATTTTACCAAAATACCCTTACTGAGATTATTATTACCTACCCTCCCTATTAATAAAATGGTGGAAATTCACCCCTAAATAATCTCATCCCCAAATCCTTTATTATTCTCATTCCTACCAAACAAACAAGACTTATTTTTTCAATTGGGATTAAAATTCTCAATCTCACGCCCAATTCCCACTTGCCAAACACCCCCTTATTGTTTTTGATAAAAATTGAAGTATACCAAATCTCTCTGCTCTCTCGTAAAAAAAATAGGTAGTATCACTCTGCTCTTTGCTCTCCCTCTCTGACCCCTCAAAGGCGATTGGTTGTCGGCGGTCAGATTTTCTGCTCTTCAATTCAGGTTTGGGGTTAAATTATTTTGAAGTTGTAAATTATTATTTGATGTTGTTATATGTTTGATTGAAGACTTAAAATTGTAAGTTAAGTTGCACTCCCCGTTCCATAATGACGTTCTTGTTTAGAATCTTTCTGCGAAACAATGTTGATTAAAGTAGGAGCATTATTGTGCAACGGAGGGAGTAATATTGTTGATTGTAGTTGTGAAATTGTTCACTTTTAATTAATGTTTTAAAATTTGTTGATTAGAGGTTGTGAAATATGGCGATGATGAATTTCGATATGTATGTATATGGCCACCGTCACCCTGACTGTTATGGCAATGGTTTCAGTAAGGATGTCGTTCTCTCTGAAATTCTCAGATGGTAAATTCTTTTCATCTTTTTTCTCTTTCTTGATTTTGCCGCTCGTGTTAGAAATATGAGATATCGGAAAATATAGATTCGTCCTTATATTATATCTGTCTTACACTTTCCACATTTTTTTGAATCTAATTAATGCTTATTTCTGAAGGGGTTTTGTATTGAGTTTGGAAGTGAAAGGCAAACTTGAACGCTATAAGTCTCGTCTTCAAAGGTGCCTTCCTTTTATCTGAATTAATTAATACGAGTATCTTTGTTCTATTTTTAAAAATAGGGTTGAGTTTTTGATAATTGAAACTGTATTCTAATAATCATTTTTAATTGTGCCACTTGTGAGTACTAATTGTATGCCTTAATTTTACAACTAAGGCAATCTTAACAAGGAAATTCCAAATTATAGGCGTATTTCTCAATTTAATCCCAACTTCTAAGTAACTTCGATTAATTATAACTATTATGAGAGAATTCTCGTCTTAAGCTTGTGTGATTGAAGTGCTTGCGAATTATGAGAGAATTCTCAATCCATTTGAGTGAGGTGAGACTATATTGGCAAAGCCGCAAAGCTATACTATAGTTATTCCATACTTCTGAATTTCTGATTATTTTGAGATGATTGCTAATCATTGGCATAAACATTGTTAGTTTTATCTTATAAGATAAAATAATGAAAGACATTTATGTTTAATTACTGTTGAAACCTTTGAAAATTGGAGGGGAAAAGGCGAGGAAGGAAAAGAGTTGGACATTTTATTTTAAAATTAAGTATCAACTTAAACATATGTTTGTAACTTTGTATATAAAGAAGGGAAAATGAAGCACAAGGAGGCACATGGTTTAAATTTTATTAGATATAGTATAGGCTGACTTTCGCATTGTCCTATGTCAGGAACCCCCAATACCTTTTAGAAATAATCGAGGTTTCCCTTGTAAATCGATAACATCCTATTTACTCCGTAGTTCATGTAAGTTAAAATTTTAAATCATACTCGGTAGTCCTTCAATTTATAATAATACTAGAGTTCATAATGTGTTCTGTTTGGATTTTATCTCACGCATTCACTCTTTAATTGATATTCAATTTTTTTTCCCCTTTTGATTTTCATTTGAATTTTGCACTTCTAATTATTGTGGAAATCTGTAACTTATTTTTACTAATTGACTTGAATCCATGTGATTGGCTACTTGTAATACTATTTGGAACACTAGAATCATCCATAAGGCAAATCAAGAGTACTTGAACATCACTGAAGTAAACACACCAACTCATGCTATATGTGAATACTCGGCCAGCAACAAAGTGGTGGCTTTATATCTACGTCTGCTAGCTAACAAAATTATGTCTCAAGAATGCAATAGCAATGACATCAATGTTGATGGGCTTGTTTTTAGGTGAATTTCCTTTCTTTCTTCATTTATGCTTTTACTAAGCTTATATTTATTTGCTCAATTTTTTTATTTTGTATTCATTTATTATTTTCTAATGCCCCCTGTACTATGCCTATGAAGCTATGTCTTGGAAGCAACATTTAGTACACTAACACCAGAAGGCAAATTGTGGTTTCTTACTCGTCTCCAAAGGTTAGATTTCAATAAAGTATATGCAGTTTAAGCCCCTTGAATTACATTTTCCTTCACTGTAGGAGATGATGCTAGTCACTACACACGGCTGTAATTTGGAGGGTATGTCAATCTATTGATCACAATCATAATTAAGACTCCCATGTGAATTAATAGCCGTGCTTATTATTGTGGGATCTGGGAGAAAAACTATCACCTTACCCAGAATAGATGTATAAATATTTCATTGTGTACACACACCATATATGTTATAATGTATCATTGATTTCATAGGAATAATATGGAATTTATATGACTATTAAAGGGTGCTTATCTGTGGAACATTGTCAAATTTATAAGTTTTATGGCTTATACCTCACAATAACTATTCTGAAAAGTCAAGTGCTATTTTACCACACTAGTAATTGTTCTACTTTTTGATTCACTTTCACATAATTGACTTGTTGTAATGCTCCTCGGAGTACTCTAGAATCAACGTTGGTGCAGTAGAAGATTACATGGGCATCAAAAGAGCAAGCACCCATAAAACCAGAAAAAAAGGATCAACCAAAAACAAGGGAGCAAGCACCACTTTAATAAAAGAAGGATCAAGCACTTGTTTAACTAAGAAAAAGGGAACAACCGCTCCTGTATCTGAAGGTTCTCATAAAGAGAAAGCTCAAGGCTGTGACTGTACGAAGGCTTCATCTCTGAAGCCTCCAACTCATGCACCCTCAACCAACAAGAAATTTAAGTTTTCATTTGAGGGTGTATGTAAAGATTTGTATCCTAGGAGCAAGCTTCCAGAAGGGCTTCTATTGGCTCAAAGTATTTTCTGTGCAAAAAATGCCTTGGCCTTCTACAATGACAAACATGGTACAGAATATAAGCTTGTTGAACCCCTGTCTAGTGCTCGTCTCTATGAGTATGGGGTGCATTTTCACTGCAACTTCACTGCAACTTCACTGCTGTCAAGCTTAGAAAGGATGGTTCTCGCGCAGCTCAACCGAAGCTCTTCTTCGCTAGCTTTGTTTATGTGAAAAGTGGAATACGTGATATGTATTGCAGCATCATTGATCGTAAGCTGATTACTTATCTCTTAATGCTATCATTGTGCCCTATTTTACCTGCTTCTTGTACATGCCAGTGCTTTTTCATGTGAAATTTCGCATATCATATATTCAAATCACCTGTACTATTTTCAGATGCTCAAAAAAGTTCACATCTTAGATTAATAATGAATTCATTTCATAGGCCTTGAATTTAGTTATCTGATAGGGTTATTATTTATTTTGTAATATGATATGATATGATGTCATATCCTATCTTTGATCATGAGAGGTTAGACAAGATGACAACTAATTACTGATGAGTGTGCTCTATTTTTAAGATCTCTTACTTATGGTTTCGATTTTTGTTGCTGTATCAGCTGCTAAAGCAATTTTCTGGTGCTGTGAAGTTTGTCCACCTGATCTTGCTCACTGTCATCGACGTGCTGGTTTGTACAACGTGTTAAGGCGATCTCCGCCTGAGTACTTTGAGGATGTAAGAAAACGAGTCTATGCAGAAATTGCGTTGGATGTTTATAACAAGAAACATGGCGCAGAGTATGAGTTGGTTGAAGCTTTAGAAACCAATGTTGTCCCTGTAAGTTTTGGTACCTATAGGTTCCACTGCAACTTCAAGGCTCAGCTTGTGAAACCGGACAACTCTTTAAAACCAAGTCTTTAGTCTACTGGAAATACAGTCATGAATTTAGCAGAACAGTCAATACTCAATAGTCTTGTATATATATATATATATATATATATATATATATATATATATATATATATATATAATTTGCTGATTTAAATTAAAAGCTGGTATAGGTAGTAATTATTGTATGTTAAATTGTCAATCAAATGTCAGGTATACCTGAAACAGGAAGATCAAACAAACAGAGCAATCTAACTCGGCTATTCATGAAATCACGAGGAAATCAGAATAGATCAATTAAGAAGGCAGCCCCGCAGTAGAGAGAAACCGTTGTTTGGAAGATCAGACGATCTGATGATTTTCTCAAGTTCAGTTGCAACATGCACCATGGTTGGCCGTTTGTCTCTTTTTGTAACGCACCTGAGGGCAAGCTTTATAGAAGCAGCCATTTCAGCGGTGACCACACCGTTTTTAGCGACTGCAGGATCTACTACAATGTTACTTGAGGGATTTTTTCTGAATTCTTTATTTACCCAGTCAGCAGACTTCCCTGTCAAGAGCACTAGAAAAAGGATACCAAATGAATACACATCTGTACACTCTGCCACTCTGATGCGTTCATCCTTTCCAGGTTCCATATAAATGCTACGTTTTCCAAAGTCTTCCACAAAGTTTTGTCCCTCAGGGATAGATATACATCGACTAAAGTTGGACAACTTGACAATGTTATCCAAGTCCAAGAAAATATTATCAGTTTCCAAGTAGCCGTGAATGATCGGTCTTGAAAAAGCATTGTGAAGATGTGAAACTACATGTGATATTTCCCAGGCAATCCTTAGCCTTTCTTTCCACTCTAATATTGGATTGGTTTGATTCTCATCATTGAATAATACCCGATCATTAAGTGTTTCCTCAGTCACCCATTCATAAACAAGAACAGGATATTCGGTCTCAAGGCAACATCCTATTAGTTTTTGAACATTACTATGACTTGCCATCTGTGTCGCAACCAAAATTTCACGCAGAAAACGCATTCGTATCTCATCAGAAGCAACACTTTCTGGCAGCTTAACCAAAACAACATTCCCTTCCCAAGAACCTTGATGCCAGTTGCAATCTTCATTCCAGAAAATTCTATGATATTCCACTTTCATTTTGCAAAGCTCATCAACTGAAAAGTAACGGATAGGGTTCATTCTACCAGGAAACAAGGAATTGCTCTCTTCAGATATAAATGATTCATTCTGCATGTAATATTCTTTGCTTCCTCGGAAAATCATGTACATGCCCTCTCCCTGCAACCACCGATGAAAATTATAAAGTAATGTAGTCCCTGTTGCCATGGGCGGAGCTAGAAGGGGACATGTGGGGACACTTGTCCCCCCATTTTCAAAAAAAAAATTAAAAAAAAAAAAAAAATTTAAAAAAAAAATGCAATTACAGTGCTCTGTTGCGACATTTGCCAGCCAAACCCTAAGTTTTTCAATTTTCAATTTCTCTCTCTTCGATTCGCCCTCGCCTGTCGCCTAGCCGGCTCGCCGTGACGCCGTCCACCGTTCGCCGGCAGTTCGCAACAGTGACGAGGTTCAACAGCCGCCCTTGAGCCTTCGTCCTTCGTGACTTCGTGTCTTCGTGACTTCGTCATATGCATAAGCATAACACATTTGCTGTAAATCTGGATTTCAATGGAGGTATGAATGTATGATTAATTGAATAATTGATTACTTGTTTTGTTGTTTAAATGTTTAATTGTTTAAATTTACAGTAAATCTGAAATTCTGAATTTCATATTTTTATTACTTGTTTAAATGTTTAATTGTTTATATTTTTATTGTGAATTTGTCATTTGTGGCCTTGTGGGTATTGATTATTGAATAATTTGAATTGATAAATGATTATTGATTTATATTTGTTTGATTGTTTCCCCTGTTAGAGTTTTTGGTTGTTTTTGTGAAATGTGAATTTATATTATTAATTATTGTAAATTATTGAAATGTGTAGTTGAATTAGAAATTTAAAATCTTAGCCTCTTAGGTTTTGTTATTATGTAATGATGTGGATTGTGGTCTTGTGGAAATTGATATATAATTTTCGATTTAATTAGGAAATGTCAAACGATTCACCAAATTCAAACAAATCAAAGGCAACTAAACAACCCGATCTTCGACAATTCTTGTTTAAAAGAACGAAACTCAATGAAAATGAGTCCAATGAAAATGAGTCCAATAACTCACCTTCATTTAGCTCCCCTCAAAGTCAAGAAAATAGTATGGAAATGGGTGGTTCAAGTAATAGTAATGTACCATTAGAGGAAGATTCGGTGTACGATGTTGAACTTCTTCCTCATGATCCGGGAAAAAGAATAAACATTATGGCAACGGCAATTCATTTGCTTATCAAGTTGATGTTGATTCTTCCCGTTGCCACGGCAAGTGTTGAAAGAGTGTTTTCTGCAATGACATGTGTCAAAAACAAGTTGCGAAATAGCATGGGTGATCAACTTATGAATGATTGTTTGGTCACTTTTATTGAGAAGGATGTCTTCTTACGAGTTTCCGACGAAAAGATTATTGATCGATTTCAAAGTATGAAGACTCGAAGAATGAACTTGTAATTTTAATGTAATGTTTATGTAATTTTTTTCATCATTTTGAATTGTATGACTAAGTATATATTTGTATTTTGAAATTTTAATATTAAGTATTAACCAATTTGTGTGTGAGTTTTTTTTTTGTTTTTATTTTTTGTTAAGCTTTTCGTAAGTTAAGCATTTTGTCCCCCCAAGTTGAAAATCCTGGCTCCGCCACTGCCTGTTGCTATGCGCCCGTAGCATTTCCCCCAGAATATGGGATTAGGGAGTACCTTCTTACAGCTAATGCTTTAGATTTCACTGTCAATCTGTTCTCGTACTGTAAAGAAGCATGAATGGCATACCAGTTTGATCTTAGGAATTTTGCCCTATCAAATTCTTTTAATCTACAAGAATCACGATAGTAAATTTGTGATGTCCATCAAATCCCTTTTTGATTTGTAATTTCTCTGTCATAGAACCACACTTCTAATGCCACATGTACACACGCGCCCACACCCGCACCCACACGCACAACACACAACACACACAAAAACAACAAACAACAAACAAGTACACCCACACAAACACACACACACACACACACACACACAGTCTTATGAGAAGCACACTTCAGGATAGTAAAAAACAAATTCTTATTCCATATTATATAATTTGTCTTTCAAGCTCAACTAAAGGAACCAAATAAGATTATTAGAGTTTTCGATTCCGAGTTCAAATATAATTACAAACATAAAAAAGCAATTCTGTGTGGAAAATGTTTTTTATCTCTCGCTCTTTTTTTTTATCATTCTCATTTTTCTGGTGAAAATATACCTCGATTTCATTAAGGGGCTATAAACAGTATTACCATTTACCATCCATAATAAACCTTGTATCCTTTAAGCTTAATGAACTTGGATAAAAGCACTCTAGTCATGAAAGCCATACCTGAAAATTACTTGTACTAGGGATAGAATCATGGGATCTAATGATGTTGTTGAGCTCAGTTGCAATGTCTACCATGGTTGGCCTACTGTTTAGGAGACTAGTTGTGCATCTGAGTGCAAGCTCTATAGATGCACTCAGATCAGTGGTCGCCACTCCATTTTTAGCAATTGCAGGATCTACAATCTCATTAATGTGCCCCAATCTGACTTTTTTTGTTATCCAGTCAACTAAATTAGTCCACTCGTCATATTGCTCTCCTTTGCTAGTAGATAGAAAAAATGTTTTCTTTCCTGTTAGTAGCACAAGAAACAGCAGGCCAAATGAATACACATCTGTACACTCTGCCGCCAGAGCTCTGCAGTAATACTCAGGTGGCGAATAACAAGGCCTACAAGTCCGAAACACAAAATTTTCACCCTTGGAAGCAGAATAAAAGTTGGACAATTTAACAGAGTTGTCTTGATCCAAAAAAACATTTTTAGGCTCCAAAGATCCATGAATGATGGGCTTGGAAAAAGCTGTGTGAAGGTAGGAAACAACATCTGATATCTCCCATGCAATCCTTAGTCTATCCTTCCACTCTAAGAAGGGTAGTTTGCTGTGGTTCTTATCTTTAAGTAAAATAAGATCTTCTAGAGTTTCGGCTGCCACCCACTCATAAACAAGAACAGGAAGTTTAGTCTCAAGGCAACACCCTAGTAATTTTTGAACATTATTGTGAGTAGCCATCTGTGTGGCAATCACAATTTCACGTACAAAACTCCTTTGGATCTCATCTGAATAACTTGACAGCTTTACCAAAACAGCTTTCCCCTCCCAAGTACCTCGGTAACAGTACCGGGAAACCTCACCAAGTTCCACATTCATGTTGTTAAGCTCATGAATTGAGAAGTAGTGGCGAATAGGGTGTGCACTATCATGAAATAAGGAGATGTTTTCTTTAAGCAAACAAGTTTCATTGTGCATGATATATTCCTCCCTTCCACGAAAAATCCAGTATAGGCCATTCTCCTGCAACAACCAAATTAACAAACTCCATACTGCATGTCATACAAATTGCTTCATTTTTAAGGTATTTAGTAAAAGCTTTGGTGTATTGGATTTGCGGTATATTTGTTCAGTTGTAACTCTAATTAAACCTAGGATAACTCAAACACAATAAACTGTTCTTCTAAGCTTTAAATAATGCATGTATAAGCTTACGTAATCAAGTCAAGGAGACAAATGCATTAGCTTGAAATTGTAATCATCAAAAGGAGGAAGGAGTCATCGATTGGAGTTGTTGAAAACATGATATATTCAAGAGAGTAACATTTTCTATTAATTAAAGATAGATGTTAGCTAGCAGCACATGCAGTAGAAGATGATGTTCATTGAAATATTATGAAAATGCCATTAATGACATGGGAAGCATGTGAAATGTCCAAACAACATGATCTTAGGGTCTAGATTAGTTCTAATTCTCTTTTTAGCCTTGGTTCTTACTATTATTATGTAGCTTAAAGTTCTAAAGCTCAGTGTCAAAAAAAAGAAAAAAAAAGGCTTAAAGCTAAACGAGGATGAAGCAAGCATGTGATAAAGGTCAGAATTATATACCTGAAAATTAGTGGCGGTAGGGATAGATTCAGGGGATGTAATCATGTTCTTAAGCTCAGTTGCAACCTCCACAATTGTTGGCCTATAGTCTGCTTCTGATGTGATGCACCTGAGTGCAAGCTGTGCAGATGCTCTCAGCTGGAGGTCCTCAATACTTGTCACTCCATTTCTAGTAATTGCAGGATCTACAATCTCATTGACACAATTTTTTTTTTATGCGATTCTGTACCCATGAATTTAAAATTCCCCTCCTGAAATAGACCTCTTTCCTGTCAAGAGCACAAGAAATAGTATACCAAACGAAAACACATCCGTACTCTTAGCTACTTTTGCACTTTTCATATATTCAGGTTCAATAAAGCCAAAAGTCCCTGATATTGCTACATCTTCAACAAATTCTTTACCCTCAGGAATAGATACAGTTAGACTAAAGTCTCCTAATTTGGCAGCATTGTGTTGGTCCAAGAACACATTAGAAGGTTTCAAGTGCTTGTGAATGATAGGCCTAGGAAATGCCGTATGAAGGTAGGCAACAGCATGAGATATCTCCCACGCAATCCTTAGCCTATCCTTCCACTCTAATACTGCTTTGCTTTGATTCGCATCATCAACAAATATACGATCATGAAGAGTTTCCTCTGCCACCCACTCATATACAAGAACAGAGGATTCAGTCTCAAGGCAACATCCTAATATTTTATGGGCATTGTTATGACTAGCCATTTGTGCGGCTACCACAATTTCACGCAAAATGCTTTCTCTACCGCTACCAAAAGTTCCACAACGAGGTCTTTTTACCAATACAACTCTTCCCTCCCAAGAACCTTGGTACAAGTCATAGTATCCATCTCTATGACACAAAAATTCTTCCCCATTCATGTTGTTGAGATCATCAACTGAAAAGTGGCGAATAGGATTCGCCCTACCATGAAACAAAGTAATGCTTTCTTCAAGTACCCATGCTCCATTCCTAACGAAGTTTTCTTTGCTTCCACTGAAAATTATGTATTTGTCTCCTACCTGCATCAACCACACCCCACAACAACTAAAATTTACAGGATTATTGAAAAGCTCTTTTCAATCAAACTTTATCTTTTGCCAGAGTATTATTTAAATCTTAAATACCTTTTGACGAGTCATTTTCTTTTTCAAGCGAGTAAGCATGTGTGTTGTTCTCTCCATAGTCTCTGCCAATATTTGCTAATTGAGTCACCTTCTGACCTTGATCTGTCACAAATTCAATCATTATGTAAATCTCATTAGCTTAATTTCTACACATCACCCAAAAAGATTTATAGGGAATTAAAATTGAAATATTTTGGAAATTTAGAAAATTGTAATTGGAAATCATGATATTATTCTAGAAGCCATCAAAAATTATTTATGCTAAAAAAATAGTGGGGGTGTTTGGTGTTCAGCGGATTGAGCGAAATTCAGCAGATAGGCCTCAAATTAGAGGGTTGACCAAGTTTGTTAGCTAATTGTGGGTGTTTGTTGGACCTAGCAAACGGGTCATTCGGGTCAAATCTGGATTGGGTCAATTTGGGTTTTGGGTATGAATCGGTTCATGTATTGGGTCGAGTTAGGGTTGGGTCAATATCAAGTCGGGATTAATTTGTTCATACCATTTTCAGGTTGAGTACGTTCACGTCATATTCGGGTGGGGTCAAAATCGGGTTGTTCCATTTGTATATCAAGCTTATCAATAATTTTATATATTTGTCATTATTATTATAAGAACTATCAATACAATTTATGAGTTTGGGATAGAGATGAGCAATTTGAGTCATTTTTGGCACTAAACATTTTTAAGAGGTAGCCCCAGCTAATCAATTTAATAAACAAAATTTGTTTATTAAATGGTAAAATGGTAAATAAAACTTGATTTATATACAAGTTTCCCATTTGATAAACAAATTTATTTATCAAATTAATTAACTGGTATTTTGTGCATTTTTAGTTCAATTATAAGGTAATTTTAGTTTAGGATATTTCGGGTCAAACACTTCAAGTCGAGTCAACTTTAGGTCGGGTCAATTTCAGGTTGAATCATTTTGGATAATAGGTCAACTTCAGGTCGAGTACAATCACAGGTTAATTTGGTCAGGTAGGGTTGATTTCGGGTTTGGTCAGGTAGGGTCGATTTCGGGTTTCTGGTCGATGTTTTTGGGTCAATTTTAAGTCTCAAGTCGGGTCATTCGGGTCGGGTCTGGGTCGGGATTGCTGAAATGCCAGGTCTAGTGTTTGGTACGGAGTATTTGGTAACAGCAGATGTTAAAGGCTGGTTGCATATGATCAGCTAAACCTCGGGTTTAGCAACGTTTTATAAGAGCTAATTGAAATCTAGATCCAATTTTACAACATTGCCCACTTAATTAGAGATAAATAACAATCTAAATTCAATTGAAAACTCCATTAATAAAGGAGAAAACGCCTAAAAGAGATAAACGAAATTCTAAATTTGAAAAGAAAAAAAAAAAAACAATTATAAACTCAAATGAATGCTCAAAAATCTGAAACAGTTTACTTCATAAAAAAATTGACTAATAAGTAAAATTATATCTACAGTAATAAAATTGAAATAAAAAGAAATTAAAAGAGAAAAGGGGAATACCTGAAATATTAAGAAGATCCATGATTTTGTTGCATGCAAATCAAAAGTGGACATTTATAAAATTATTTTGGTAAAAGTTGTTCTGTGGAATTAAATTGGATTTTTTCCCAAATTAAGCTTTATACGGAAATTATTTACGAAATTGGTCTCGTGGTAAAAGTATTTCCCAAACTAAGCTTCTGAGATGAAACGCTGTCTCGGACAGCGTTTTACACTCAGTTTTTTTAAAAAGAAAATTCAAGACATAAAACGCTGCCTCAGGCAGCATTTTATGGTAGTTTGACTTTTTTCATAAACTTCGTATTTCATACCTGTTTTATACAAATAAACGCTGCCTGAGGCAGCGTTTATATCTTTAAATGAAACGCTGCCTCAGGCATTAATGTACAAGCATAAAACGCAGCCTGAGGCAACGTTTTTATCTGTACATTAAACGCTGCCTCAGGCAGCGTTTCTTGCGGGAATTATAACGAATTCCAGGCCTTTTTTTCTCAATCTCTTTCCTCTCTTTCACACAATTTACACTCTCTCTCTCACTAACTCTCATTGTCAGCAACAAAGAACCACAGCCGTTGCCAACGCCTCCCCTGCCGTGCCGCCGCCCCTGCCGCCGCCAAAGTGAACGGAAGTTGTTGCCGGCATTGTCTCACTCACTCTTTAAATCCGGGTAAACCCTAAATTCGTAGTACATTGTTGAATTTTACATTGAATAGTTGGTAGTAGATAGTTGTTGTATATTGTAGCAAATTGTGATGTAAATTGTATTAATTTGTTGCTAATTAGTAATGAAATGTGATAAATTGTTGATAATTATTGATGATAATGTGGTACATTGTTGAGGAAAAATATAGACGAAATTGTTGATTAAATTGTCGACGAAATTGTCAATGATAATGTGGTTTGTTTTTGATGAAATTCTTGATGAAATTGTTGATGGTAATGTGGTCTATTATTGTGAAAAAAATGATAAAATTGTTGATGGTAATGCGGTATTAGTATGTTGATAGTTGTATGCGGTACTAAGAGTTTATGAAATTGGTGATGAAAATGTTGATAATGAGAATGGACTTGTTTCATTGTTGTCATATTAGCTACACATGTAGGTTCTCGAAATTTGATATAACTTTCCATTATCGAAGCTATGTATGTTATGTATTGTTAAATTAGGGTTTTTTGACGTTGTTTTAGAATTCGATTATCCTTAAATGTGTTTTGGTTGGTATGTAGAATATGGCTTCACAAAATGTAGTGTTGTTATGCCGGTGGGGAGGTGAAATTATGTGCGATGGATCAAATGTTGAGTACAGTGGAGGGAATATGGAACTTATAACACTTGAACCGAGCATGACTGTGAATGATCTGATGAATGAGGTTCACAGTAGTATCGGCTCAAACCCAATGAATGCTGAACTGAACCTTAAAATGAGGTGTGAGACTGGGCATGGAGTTCAAGTGTTACCTGTCTCCACAAACAAACATTTAAAAGCTTTGAGAAGCATTGTTACAATGAAGGGTGTTCCCAATGAGATATATGTAGAAACAGTGCCTATATGTACCCAACAAAGTACTTGGGCAGAACAACATCCTACATATGTCTCCGATTACAACACCACGTCCTTCCAAGGCCCTTCAAACCACATTCCATCGAATGAATATGGGATGGGAACTTTCAGTCACTTGCTGCATGATGATCAATTTCAGATGCCGTTTAGTCCTCATATAGCATCACCTGCACATGCGGGGGGCTGTGTGACAATGTTCGGCCAATCCGGTCCTTCAACATCAAACACCGTGGCTCCGTCACCGATGCGAGATGAGGTTCAAGAATCACCGTCTCAAGAAGACCCAAGTCATTTTGATAATATTGTGAATAACGAATTGTCGGTGTACGATGTGTATGCGGATACAGATGATGAGGATGATAATGGGGAGGAGTATGATAGGCTTGATGACATGGATCTTGAAGATGGGCAGATGGAAATTGATGATCCCTTGGTTAGAACTGCAGTACCCTGGTTTAGTCAGATAAATGAGAATTATGAAGTTGATGAGTATTGGGCCAATTCAGGGAGTCATACATCATTTGTTCCAGGGGGAGAATTCGAGAAGGGAATGTACTTTGACAGTAAGAAAACGCTTCAAGAAATGGTGAAGATGTATTCTATACAGAGAAATCAATTCTACACCACAGTGACCTCAAATGAGAGTGTCCTTCATCTGCGTTGCAAGAAGAAATGTGGATGGTCTCTAAGGGGTACTAGGACAAGTGAGCACTCGCGTGGCTTCACCATAGTCACATACAAAGGCCCGCATCGGGAGAACTGTGTTACCGAATTACTATCTAATGATCACCCACACTTGGATTCGTCCATAATATCTGAGTTTGTGAAGTCCTTTGTGCAGAAAGATCCGACTCTAAAAGTTGAATTCATTCAAGAACTCATCTCCAAGCAATTCCATTTTGAAGTTCCGTATAAAAGAGCATGGTATGCCAAGGACAAAGCCATCACTCAAATTTTTGGTGATTGGGAGAGTTCTTACAGCAGACTTCCTCAGTTCATGCAAGCACTGCAACAGTCAAACCAGGGAACCGTAGTCATATGGAAACACAAAGCTCTAGTGGAGGGTAGGTATACCAGCAACATGGAAGTATTTGAACGAGTGTTTTGAGCATTTGGTCCTTGTATCGATGGTTTCAAACATTGTATGCTTGTCATCTGTATCGATGGGACGCACTTGTACGGGAAGTATAAAGGAACACTTTTGGTTGCTACAGGTGTGGATGGAAACTTCCAAGTATTTCCACTAGCATTTGCGTTGGTTGAGGGTAGAGGTGGCCAGTGGGCCGGGTTGGACCCAGCCCACCCTAACTCGCACGGCTGGTGGGTCACGTGGGTCCGACCCGGTTTCAATCCGGCACAGCCCGGCACAGCTCGGATTTAATCCGGGTTGTGTCGTGGGTCCAAAATTTTCGACACAACCCATTTCAACCCAGCTCAGTTTAACCCGTTTGATTCGACCCAAATCGCACAACCCGTTTTGACTCATTTAATTCGACACACCTAGCCCGTGAACCCACCTAACCCGACCCACCTGGCACAACCCAGCCCGCACGGCCCACCCGCACGAATGACCCACCCAACCCGCACGAGCCAACCCACCTAACCCGCACGCATGACCCACCCAACCCGCACGCATGACCCACCCAACCCGCACGGCCGGCACAACCCGCACGGCCCGCACAACCCGCACGGCCCGCACAGCCCGCACAATTCGCACGACCCGCACGGCCCGCACGGCCTAACATCCATTTTAAAAAAAAAACGGCTAGTTTTTTGTATCTAACGGCTAGTTTTTTGTATCTAAAGGCTAGTTTTTTAAGTGTATGATCATCCATTCTATTTTTCCTATAAATACCAATTCCATTTCACTCAAATTTCCACACAAATTCAAGCTTTCTTTCTCTCTTACTTAAAAATTCTTATTGTTCTCAAATTCTCAAGTGTTATATAGAGTTATATTTTTGTTAAAAAAAATCTCCTTAATATTATTATTAGTATTCTTAAGATTCTAAAAAAAAAATGTTCTTCTCCATATTATAATTAATAATCATACAAAAAAAAAATGAGCTCAAGAGGAGGAATGGGAAGGAGTCAAAGTGGTGGTCGAAGTGGTAGCCAAAGGAGTGGTGGTGCAAATTTTTCGTATGAAATTAATACGGAAAATTTAAACCAATTTGTCAATGAATATGGAGATTATGGTTTAGGAGATAGGCAAAATATTCAAACGTCTCCACCACAACATTTCTCCCACGAGTCCCACCAATCATCAAGTTCAACTATGCCACCTCCATCGCAACCAACATCTCAACCTTCATCTCAAGGTAATTTCTAATTAAATTTTTATTGTTATGAATATTTAAAAAAACTATTATTAATGATTATAAAGTTAGTTTAGTTTCCAATTTTCTATGATTTACAATTAGTTAATTACCATGAAAAATGCGTTTAAATAAGTATAATTAAAATATTTAAAATTTAAAAGCTTATTTTCATGAATAGCATTTAAAAATTAATTTTAATAATTTGAT